AGAGAGAGACAGAGCATGAACGGGGGAGGGGCAGAGAGAGAGGGAGACACAGAATCGGAAACAGGCTCCAGGCTCTGAGCCATCAGCCCAGAGCCTGATGCGGGGCTCGAACTCACGGACCGCGAGATCGTGACCTGGCTGAAGTCGGACGCTCAACTGACTGCGCCACCCAGGCGCCCCATCCTTTTTCTTTTTGATCAAACTGGCTAGTAATTTATCAAGCCCTATTATCTCTTTTTGAATTCCATGTTAAAACTTTTAACAAATGTTTCTTATTCTTTCTCCAATGTTTTCAAGATTTTTTAGGAAATGATCCTCCAGTTCATTAATCCTGTCTTCTGCTGTGACTTATCTACTGTTAAATCCTTTCACTGGAGTTTTGAAATTCAATTAGTGCATTTTTTAGTTTTAGAATTTCAATTTAATTCCTTTTTACATGTTCTGCTTCTCTAATGAAGTTCTCAATCTTTTTTTCCTACTTATTTGAACATATTAATCACTTTCTGAACTTTAAAAATAACTTTTTTTTATGTTTATGTATTTTTCAGGGAGAGAGAGAGAGACAGAATGAGAGTGGGCAAGGGGCAGAGAGAAAGGGAGACACAGAATCCTAAGCAGGCTCCAGGCTCTGAACTGTCAGCACAAAGCCCGACGCAGGGCTTGAACTCACGAACCCTGAGATCATGACCTGCGCCGCAGTCAGACGCTTAACCAACTGAGCCACCCAGGCATCCCTATCAGTTTTTTAATTGTAATCATCATTTTAAAGTCATGGTTAGTAGCTCCAATATCTGGATCACTCACAGGTATATTCATATTGTCTGGGGCATTTTTGTTCTCTTCATAGTCATGTGATTCTGCCCTTAGTGTAATTATTAATTTCGTACAGAATGACTAAGAAAATTTACAAATTCTATGCACATGATATCTTCTTTCAAAGAGGGCTCATTCTAAGAGCTCAAATGTCCATTGATAGATGAATAGATAAAGATGTGGTATATATATACAATGAAGTATTACTCGGTAATCAAAAAGAATGAAATCTTGCCATTTACATCTATGTGGATGGAACTAGAGAATATTATGATAAGCGAAATTAGTCAGAGAAAGACAAATATGACTTCACTCATATGACGACTTTAAGACACAGAACAGATGAACACAAGGGAAGGAAAGCAAAAAGAACATAAAAACAGGGATGGGGACAAAACATAAGAGACTCTTAAATATGGAGAACAGAGAGTTATTGGAGGGGTTGTGGGAGGGGGAAAGGGCTAAATGGGTAAGGGGCATTAAGGAATCTACTCCTGAAATCATTGTTGCACTGTCTGCTAACTAACTTGGATGTAAATTTAAAAAATCAAAAAAAAAAAAAAAAAAAAGAGGGCTCATTCTAGGAATTCAAAATGGAGACTGATTACTCTAAACAGGAACTAAGATCATTTAGGAAATTTCAATCAGAGGAGGGTTCCATCTACCTCTAATTGGCCTCTTCCTAGAGTGCAACCCTGCTGCTTTTTTTTTTTTTTAGTATATGAAATTTATTGTCAAATTGGTTTCCATACAACCCAGTGCTCATCCCAAAAGATGCCCTCTTCAATGCCCATCACCTACCCTTCCCTCCCCCCCCCCCCGGCCCCCCCCCCCCCCCCCCATCAACACTCAGTTTGTTCTCAGTATTTAAGAGTGTCTTCCCTGCTGCTTTTTCAACCGAGGACCTATGTTGTCCACAGGGACTCTCCAGCCTGGTGAGTCCTGAATATTAATCCTTGCCTCCTCAGCTTAGCATGACTTAATGGATTTGTTATCGCTGATGTTGTTATTATTGTTTCAAACTTATTTATGCCCACTGGTGCCACAAATTACTACTTAAGACAGTCATGGAAATAACTTACCTTTTTACTTAGCAATTTTGAAATGCAGTTGAGCCTTAAACCATGTGTGGGTTAGGGGTGTTGACCTCCAGGCAATAAAAAATTCATATAGAACTTCTGACTCCCCAAACTTAACTACAATAGCTTACTGTTGACCAGAAAAGCCTTAGTGATAACAAACAGTCAATTAACACATAATTCGTATGTTTTACTCCTATATACTATGTTCTTACAATAAATAAGCTAGAGAAAACAAAATGTTATTAAGAAAATCCTAAGGAAAATATATTTACAGTACTGTACTACTTATCAAAAAAATCTGCATATAAGTATAACAGTGCAAACCCGTGTTGTTCAAGGGTCAGCTGTATATATCATTCATAGTGCAAACTATAGCCCATGGGCCAAATCTGAACACTGTTGTTATAAAGTCTTATTAGAACACAGCCATACTCACTCACTTATTGACTATAGTTGCTTTTGCATTATGTCAGAGTTGAGTCATTGTGACAGACTGTATGGCTCACAGAGTCCAAAGTATTTACTATTTCATCCTTAACAGAAAACAAAAAACGATCCCTTATCCACACTAAACAAAGTAACTATAAAAAAGCACCCCGGGGACACCTGATTGGTTCAGTTAGTTAAGCATCTGAGTCTCAATTTCGATGCAGGTCATAAACTCACAGTTCATGATTTCAAGCCCCACATCAGGCTCTGTGCTGACAGTGGGGAGCCTGCTTAGGATTCTCTCTCTTCCTCTCTCTCTACCCCTACCCCACTTGTGTTCTCTCGCTCATGTGCTCTCTCTCTCAAAATAAATGAACTTAAAAAATTGTTTTAAAAAGCATTCTGCCAGTTGGTACCAAAGGGTTTCTCCCAAGCTTTTTCAGTTTGGACATACTAGATCAAAAATCCAATTATCAATAGGTTGATCACTTAATAATTACATATCCACTCCGCTCACCAGATACTGATACAAACACATGCAAGACTATTAAGAATTGTATAACCTTAAAAGATAGGTATAGGCAACAATGCTCCTTGGCTAGTAGTTAAAGAAACCCTTCTCAAAAAAAATGTGCTAGAGTTGTCTGGTGACAGACAGTACCTACACTTGTGGTAAGAACAGCGTAACATACAAAGTTGTCAAATCATTAATTTGTATGCCTGAAACTAATACAATGATGTGTGTCAACTACAATTTAAAAAAGAGAGGGAGAGAGCACTACACTGAGTGTGATGGGAAAAAGTAATCTCACCAGGGATAAAGCAGGCTTCCAAACAACAGTAAGTGAAGGCCATACTCCAACTGTGGGAGGCCATAAATGAATTCAGAGAAGCCAAAGAACTTAGATCAAATGAGAAACAGTATCCCTAGTTATCAAGGCCACTGAGAAAAGCTGTAACAAGCCGTGACTACAGGACATCAAAAAGAGAAACTGAGAACATATAGCTACCTAAGGAATTCCAGGATTCATATTATCTCTGAGAGTCTGAGCTTAGAATCCATATAGTTTTCCAGCCCAAAGCTTTAATTTTTGAAGTGACTGGGTTTAGCCCAGTTTCTGCTAATCTACTTCTCCTCTTCCCACAAATACACACACAATCAGTCTCTCATCTCTCTTCAACATATTCTTTCACATCTTTCAGTCAAAAACTGGCGAAAGTTAAACAAAAAAAGAAAAAAGATACAACTCATAAAAATATTTGCAACTTCAGTATTAAGTAGCAACCAAGATTATATCACACACATAATCACAGTACTACATGATAGCACTCTATACTCATGGGACTACAAGCAATGTGTAGGCTTCCTTCTAGTACACTGCCTAGCACATAATAGATACCCAGAAAATAAACGAATGTTAAATAAGCAGTGGTGTAAAATAGTTAAAAGAAGTAGTATTAGATTAGCTAAATGCCTAAAAATCCCCAGGTTATCAAGCAGGTTTTTTTGCTTGTTTTTAATTTTAAAAATTTCAAATTGCAAAAGCATCTCAACTAGTTGCTAAAATAGATGATGAAAAACCAAAAGCTTAAGAATACCATATTTATATTGGAAGTATTATACAAAATAAAGTTAGCAAATAAAGTTAATAAAAAAATTTCTCTAGATAGAATATATTCTAAGACTTTGATAAATAATTTAAGTATAGACGATAGAAGTTTTAAGAATATTTTGAAATCTAGTATATACTAAAATAGATCTTACCTGCTTTTTTAAGTTATCATTCAATTCTTTTAATGCATCAAAAGAGGACCTTAGCCTCTTACTTTCTTTATTTCTTTCCTTAAGAACTTCAGTTAAGTGCTCAACTTCTGCACTGTGCTGCTAGAAGGGGAAAAAAATCTGATTTAAAAATTAGGTGTGGATTCCATGTCACAAACGCTACTGAACACAAAGTAATTAAAAATTAGAACTCCTCTGGGCGCATGGTTGGCTCAGTCAGTTAAGCATCCAATTCTTGATTTCAGCTCAGGTAATGATCTCAACAGTCATGGGATCAAGCCCTGTGTCAGGCTCACCGTTGATGGACCAGAGCCTGCTTGGGATTCTCTCTCTCCTTCTCTCTCTGCCCCTCTGTGCCTCGTGCACGTGAGTGCTCCCCCTCTCTCTCAATGTAAACATTAAAAAAAAAAAATAGAACTCCTTGAATCAGGACTTTAATCAATGTATTTAAACATATATGACTAATACCACAATTAATTATAAAAACTATGTCATCAAACAAGTAATAACTAAGCATTGAAAGCATTTGTTAAGTACTTACTAAAAAAACTATTTTGTGCTTCTGCTCAAAAGAGTCCAATGAAACTCACTAAAATAATTTCTTTCACACCATGGAATGATAAAACAATGAAGGGTTTCTGATCTTTTTTTTTTTAATGTTTGAGAATGTGAGTGAGTGGGTGTGAGAGAAGGAGGGGCAGTGAAAGGGAGAGAAAGAATCCCAGCAGGTTCTCTGCCTCAGTGCAGAGCCTGAGGCAGGGCTCAATCTCACAAATAGTGAGATCATGACCTGAGCTGAAACCAGAGTCAGGCACTTAAACCAACTGAGCCACCCAGGATCCCTGGGTTTCTGATCTTCTTCAAGAGTCTGGTTAGCAATTCATAGCTTTATAAGTTAAAATTTAAGATTTAAGTTACCCTGAGGAATAAATATCCATAGATATGGAACTAATTTCTTATTCTCATAAAGTAGCTAATTGTTTACATCTCAAATTTAAAAACATATTAATATATCTGAGTCTTAAACTATTTGACTTCCTTAATCAGTTTTATAAATAATTGAAATCAATTAACCTTCTAATCACATTTAAACGAGATAGCACTTTTTGATTTAAAGTACAAATACATGTCACCTTTTATTCTCAATTTATTCATAATGTATTAAAACAAGCAAATTTCTATAGGAAATAAAAAAATTGAATTAATTTCTTTCTTCCAAGTAATCATATAGGAACTATTTAAAAAAAGGCTGGTATCTTTACACTTAAGAATAGCAGACAAATCTAAAGAGAAAAAAAATCAAGAAGTCTAGTATGGAAACCTCTTGAAAATCCAAGCATTTCTTCTTTTGCCCTGTTTAAAAATCCAACCACATGAAAACATTAGCTTTATGCAATTTTATTATTACATTAAATGATTCTTTAAATAACTTAGTATCTAACCACAAATACAGGTATTTCAAACATTAGATTAACATTCTCATTGTCCAAATTTTTCCAAATCGAAAAGATGTTAAAAAATAGGATATGAGTTCCATTTCCGGAATGGCAAGATAAGCCCACTACATTCTAGTTCTGTTACTGATTACAACTGAAAACCTTAGACAAAACACAAAAAGTAACCCTAAAGACTGTAAAACGTAAACAGAAATACGGAATTGTAGCAGTCTTGCCCCAGGGCAGGCCCCCAGCACTCTGAAGTGCAGCAGAGCACTGTAGGCTGCTAAACTGAGAGAAACTTTGCCTTTACAGTCAGGGAAGCCAGGAAAAGGGCCACTGTGAGCCTCGGAATGTGTGCAGTATCTCAGAGAAGAGACTCAGAAAAAGAATCTTTTCATTCAGGTGTACAAACACCTGTAGAAATCTGGCTTAACTCTAAGCATAGCACAGACAAAAGTGGCAAAGCAAAGGTGGAGAGATCAGAGTTCAGTTTAAAAATACCACCCACATCTCAAACTAACCCCCAATTCTGAAAGCATGGGAAAGACACAGGCACCATACTGAGGGTCTTGAGAACTGAACTGATTTAAACCATTGCCTGAGTATTAGAGTAAACCTAAGTGGCACAGGTACAACTCCAAAGCTTTGAAAACTGAACTGAGATTGGGTCACTTCCCACAGAAGGTGAGAAAGAACTCTGGCCTAAATCTAATGAGGATGGAATAGGGAAAATGGAGTATGAAGATCCTGAGCTCACCTCCTCTCATGAACACACCAAGGTTGCAACTACATGGACAGCAACTCCCTCTGAGAATGACCTGAAGACTAGCAGTACAGCTCTTTCACAGGTAAAAACATAAAGAAACAGACACATCAAGAAGGGTGAGAGATAGGGCTCCTGGGTGGCTCAGTGGGTTGGGCATCCAACTTTGGCTCAGGTCCTGATCTCACAAATCATGAGTCTGAGCCCTGAATCTGGCTCTGTGTTGACAGCTCGGAGCCTGGAGCCGGTTTCGGATTCTGTTTCCGTGTCTCTCTGTCCCGCCCTGCTCACACACTATCTGTCTGCCTCTCTCTATCTCAAATATAAAAAAAAATAATAATAAAAATAAAAGAATTTTTAAAAAAAGTACACAATCTTCCAAAACTGAATCAGGAAACAGAAAATCTGAACAGACCAATTACTAGTAATGAAATTGAATCAGTAATCAAAAACTGTCAACAGCTAGCTTCAGAGGTGAATTCTACCAAACATTCAAAGAGTTAATACCTATTCTTCTCTCAACTATTCCCAAAAAAATTTAAGAGGAAGGAATGCTTCCAAATTCACTCTGAGGCCAGGATTACCCTGATTTATTCCAGGGATGCAAGAATGGCTCAATATTCACACACCTATGTGATATGACACATTAAAATAATGAAGGATAAAAACCATATGGTCATCTCAACAGATGCAGAAAAAACATTTATCAAAAGGCAACATCCATTCATGATAAAAACTGTTAACAAAGTGAGTACAGAGGGAATATACCTCAATGTAATAAAGGCCATACATTGGAAAGCTATAGCTAGCATCATACTCAAAGGTGAAAGCTAAAAGCTTTTACTCTAAGATTAGGAATAAGACTAGAATGCCTACTTTTACCACTTTTATTCAACACAGCATTGGAAGTCCTAGCCACAGCAATCAGACAGGAAAAAGAAATAAAAGACATCCAAGTTGGTAAGGAAGATGTAAAACTGTCACTATCTGCAGATGACATTATATTCTATATAGTAAACCATAAAGAATTCACCAGAAACTATTAGAATATATGAATTCAGTAAAGTTGCAGGATACAAAATTAATATACAGAAATCAGTTGTGTTTTTAAACTAATACCATAATAGCAGATAGAGAAATTAAGAAAACAATCATACTAACAATTGCACTAAAAACAATAAGAATACCTAGGAATTAATTTAACCAAGGAGGTGAAAGACCTTTACTCTGAAAACTATATGACATTAATAAAAGAAATAGAAGATGTCACAAATAAATAAGATATACCATGCTCATGGATTAAAACAACTAATACTGTTAAAATGCCCATACTACCTAACGTAATCTACAGATTGAATGCAATCCTTACCAAAATACCAACAGCCTTTTTCACAGAACTAGAACAAATAATACCACAAAAGACCCAAAACAGCCAGAGCAACTTTAAGAAGAACAAACTTGGAGGTATCATCCTCGCAGTTTTCCAACAATACTGCAAAGCTATAGTTATCAAAACAGTATAGTGTTGGCACAAAAACTGACATGGAGATCAAGGGAACAGAACAGAGAGCCCCAAAATAAATTCACACTTATATGGTAAAGTAATCTACAACAAAGGAGGAAAGAAGATACAATAGGGAAAGAGTCTCTTCAATAAATAGTGCTGAGAAAACTAAAAAGCTACATACAAAAGAATGAAACTTTCTTAATTTAGGAAAACACTCTCTCATACCATATATAAAAATAAATTAGGAATGAATTAAAGATCTAAATGTAAGACCTGAAACTATAAAACTCCTAAAAGAAAACAAGGGTAGTAAACTTCTGGACATCAGTCTTAGCAATGTTTTTTTGGTCTGTCTCTTCAGACAAGGGCAACAAAAACAAAAATAAACAATTGGGGGGGAAAAAAACCACAACTGGGTCTACATCAAATTAAAAAGCTTTTGAACAGTGAAGGAAACAATAAAAAAAAAAAGCAACCTACTGAACAAGAGAAGATATTTGCAAATTATATATCCGATAAATGTGGATACTGGTTAATACTCAAAATATATAAAGAACTCATACAACTCAACACCAAAATAAACAATCCAATTAAAAAATGCGAAGTGGACCTGAACAGATGCTTTTCCAAAGAAGACATACTGATGGCCAACAGGTACATGAAAAAAATGCTCAATCCACTAAAATTGTCAGGGAAATGCAAATCAAAACCACAATGAGATATCACCTTATACCAGTCAGAATGGCTTGTATCAAAAGCACAAGAAATAACAAGTATTGGTAAGGACGTGAGGAAAGGGTAACTTTGTGCACTGGTGGTGAAAATGTAAGTTGATACAGATACTCTGGAAAGCACTATGGAAGTTCCTCAAAAAATTAGAAATAAAAATACCATATGATCCAGCAATCCCACTGTTGGTTATTTACCTAAAGAAAATGAAAACATTAATTTCAAAAGATATATGCATACCTATGTTCACTGCAGCATTATTTACAACAGCTAAGATATGGAAGAAACCTCAGTGTCCACTGATAGATGAATGGATAAAGATGTGGTATAAATCCACAATGGAATAGTACTCAGACGTAAAAAAGAATGAAATTCTACCATTTGTGACAACATGAAGGAACCTAAGTGAAAGAAGTCAGAGAAAGACAAACACCGCATGATTTCACTTATACATAAAGTCTAAAAACAAAACAAATGAACAAACAAAATAAAACAGAAACAGACTCCTAAAAGAAAGAATTGGTGGTGACTGCCAGATGGGAGGGGAGGAGGTAGGCAGTAGGAAAAACGGGTGAAGGTGGTCAAAAGGCACAAACTTCCAGTTATAAAATTAAATAAATCAGGGATGTAAAGTACACCATAGAGAATATAGTTAATAATATTGTAATAGCATTCATTATATAGTGACAGATGGTAACTAGTTTATCGTGGTGAGCATTTCATAATATATATAAAAGTTGAATCACTATGTTGTACATCTGAAACTAACATAAGGTCCATAAGCTATACTTCAACTTATAAACAAACAACGCAATTGGGTTGACTGCTTAAAAAAAGAAACATTCTCCAGAGGATTATAACCAGATCCAGAATCTGTATAATATCCACAAGGTCCCAAATATAATCCAAAAGTCACTGAACATGCAAAGAACAAGAAAAATGTGACTATGTCACAAGAAAAATACCAATCCTTACATGACCCAGATGTTGAATTTTTAGGTGTGTCCTATGAGGTAAATACAAATGAATGCAAATGGAAAGATAAAAATGCTCATGAGGAAAATTAAACATAATTTTAAAAAGAACCTAATTAACAATTTTAGAACATAAAATATCAGAAACAAAAAATTCACTAGATGATCTCAGTAGCAACATGGATATGCAAGGATAAACAATGAACACAACGACAGACAACAGATATTATCAAATCTGAAGAACACAGAAGAAATAGATGAGGAAAAAGGAGCAAAGCCTCAGCAGTTTGTAACAGCAAAAGACCTACCATATGAGTCACTGGAGACACAGAAGGAGGAGAAAGCAGTTGGAACATAAAAAATATTTGAAGAAATACTGGTTGAAAACTTCCCAAATTTGGTAAAAGACATTCATCTACAAAGTCAAGATGTTCAGGGAACCCCAAACAGGATAAACTCAAAGAAAAACATGTGGAGATACCTCCTAATTGAACTGCTGCTGAAAACCACAGATAAAGAAAAACCACAATTCTATTTACATGACATTCTGGGAAAGGCAGAAGTACAGGGACAGAAAATAGGTCAGGGGTTGCCAGGGCGGGGTGCAGGGAGCAGGGAGGGATAACTACAAAGGAGTGTAAGGAAACCTTTGGGGTGCTAGAATTATTCTTTATCAGAATTATGGTGGTGATTACAAGACTATATGCATTTTTCAAAACAGAATGAAATTCATTCTCTGTAAGTTACACAGATAGTAATGTATCTATTGATATGAAACAAAGTATACTATATCACCTAGATAATATTCTTGAGAAAAATATTTAACCTGAATAAAATCCTTAGCAAATCCATCCAGGGCATGACATAAGACTGCTGGCCTGGAATCTTCAAAGAAAGGTCTTACAAAAAGAAAACTGGTTGACTGCTCTACATTCAAAGAAACCAAAAAGACATAAAAATCAAATGTAATGCAAGAATTCTGTCTAGTTCTTTGATCAGAAAATAAAAACAAAAGATTTCAAGGCCCAACTGGGAAAGTGAATGTGGACTGTGTATTACATTAAATTATTCAAGTACCATTAATTTCCTAATATGTTAACCATGCAGCAAATGTCCTTATGCTTACTTAGGAGACACATAGTCCTAAGATTAAGTAGTGATAATACTAAGGAAGTATTTAGGGGTGTTGAGTCATGATTTTTGCAAATGAGTTTCAAATGGCCCAGGAAAAAATACGTGGGGGGACGGGAGGTTGGAGAAGAATGTGACAAAATGCTAAGATCTAGTGAATCTAAATTAAGAAGAAAAACACAAATTATATTACTGTGAAATCAAATGCTATATAGTTACCTCCTTTATAATCTGAAATCTTGTAAGAACCTCTTCTTCGACACCTTTAATTTTACTCAAAGCAGTTTCATGTCTGAAAAGCAGTTGTTCTCTTTCAACTAAAAAACGTTCCCGCTTTTGAAGTTCTTCAGCAAACTCCTGTTGGGCTGCAGTTTCACACTGTATTAAAATGTCAGATTCAAGTGTTTTTAGAAAATATATTCACAAACTCTACAAATTATGTTTTTATTTACTGAGGTTGTAGCTTAATCAAATGGTGTTTAGGACTACATGGGTACAAGTAAAGTGTGGATTACAGTAACAGCCAGACTAGCACAGCAAGTAAGCTTGCACAGAAATTCTATCTTGTTGCAAAATGATGTGACAACATAGTGAGATTCTACTATGAGGACTCTAGAGAATTTGAGGTACAAAATGCATCAGTACTATGCAGAAAAACCCCCTTTCCAGCTTCAATTCCATGTCGTACTTCAACTTCACCATCTGCTCTTTTCCTATACTCTCCGCCCCCTTCCCTTCTTGTCCTTCACTTGGACTGAAAGGCCCCAGCCCTACATTACAGTACTAAGCACCTTCCCAGCCTCAGTGCCGCACTACTCCATACCAATGGAGAAAACTCACACATCAGGAAAAGTTATACTGTTGTAAATTCATGGAACCTATATCGGATTCCAGAAATCATTTTATATTTTCATGATTCACTCTCTCTCTCACTCTCCACAGTGTTTATTTCAAGCCTTCTCCACTCTTTACTTTGAAACCTCACTTCCCTCCTACACCATTCTGTTCAGACAGCCTCATCTCTAACTTCACAGGGAATACAGAAGACAGCAGAAGATGTAGAAGCTTTCTGGGACCAGGCCCCTACCTGCCTTCACCTGCCTCAGTTCCAGCAGTTCCTGAGGGAGATATACTTAGCCTTGGAAGAGATGGATTCCAATGCAATCATTAACAGATGCACCACCATTGGTCAACTGTTAACAAAAACTTGCTAGAATTCTTTTATCTCAGCATGATGAAAGCCAGAATGTCCTACTATGATGCTTATATTGTTTGATTAACAAAGAATCCCAGAATTCTACAAAATTGAAACTTAACTCCTGAAAAGAGTTGTCATCTCATATACTTTTAACATTCAGATTTAATATAAAAGAAATTGGTACTTTTACTCAAAGTGGTGGATATGCATCTGCAAATTACTATTCTGGTTCGCTTAAAAATATGGTCTCATTAGTGTCAGAACTCAGAATCATCTTAATGGATTTAACATTCACAGACAAAAAATGCAAACTACAGCAGTGAGACAGCTATCAGATTATGGGGGAAAGACAACTCTGGGATGTTGATGATGGCAACGTAAATAAGTAGGCACAGCCACTTTGGAGAACAATTTAGTAGCACCCTGCACATTTTCTTCTTATAAGTTAAGGATACTTAAACAGAACTGTTTGTAAAGTATAAACTCCATCTTATATGTTTATACAGAAATAAATAATGGTGGTTTATTTACAGACCGAAATCCTACATGGCAGTTAAATAGGGGCGCCTGGGTGGCTCAGTAGGTTAGGCATCCAACTTCAGCGCAGGTCATGATCTCATGGCTCATGAGTTGGAGACCCACATCAGGTTCTGTGCTAACAGCTCGGAGCTTGGAGCCCACGTCCGATTCTGTATCTGCCCCTCTCTCTGCCCTCCCCTGCTTCTGTTTCTGTCTCTCTCTCTTTCAAAAATAAACATTAAAAAAATTTTTTTAATGAGTATCTTAAAAAATAAAAAAATAAAATGAACTAGATCTACATTTTCCAAACACATAAATCTCAAAAATATAACAATGAATGAAGCAAAGAAACTACAAAAAGAAATCCACAATATATCATTACTTATGTAATGTTTTATAACATTCAAAGTTGGGGCGCCTGGGTGGCGTAGTCGGTTAAGCGTCCGACTTCAGCCAGGTCACGATCTCGCGGTCCGTGAGTTCGAGCCCCGCATCAGGCTCTGGGCTGATGGTTCAGAGCCTGGAGCCTGTTTCCGATTCTGTGTCTCCCTCTCTCTCTGCCCCTCCCCCGTTCATGCTCTGTCTCTCTCTGTCCCAAAAATAAATAAACGTTAAAAAAAAAAAATAAAATAAAACATTCAAAGCAATTACTACATGTGAATACATAAAAGTGCTAAAACAGGACACAACGGATTCACACCAATTTCAAGGGAGTGCTTAATTCTGGGAAAAGGGAGAAGAAATGGGAGGGAAGAAGGCTGTTTCAACTCTAAGTGAAATACTCTACTTCTTTTAAAAATAATATATAGAATTATTAATAAAACATTAGCATTATGCAATATTAATGGGTATACAGTTGATATTATAATATTCCCTATGTTTTTCTGTAGGTCCTAAGTATTTTATAAACTTTTAAAAACTAAAATACAGTGTTACCTAGTCAAATGTTGCAAATGAAAAGATACTAATAATAATAAAGGAATTATTTCCTGCACAAAAATTGAAGTTATACATTTCAAAAAAACATTCAGAAGGAAAAAATAAATTTCAAAAAAACAGAATTCTCTCCTCCTCCAGTTTTGTTCCCTACCCTTAACAAAAAGCAGCATCATTTATCCAATAGCCAAAAGAATAAACCTACATTTCATTCTTGACTAAAACACTACTGAATGGGGTGCCTGGGTGGCTCAGTTGGTTAATCATCCAACTCTTGATTTCCACTCAGATCATGATCTCACAGTTAGTGAGATTGGGCCTTGCATCCAGCTCCAAGCTATCAGCATGGATTGTCAGCAATCCCATGCTTGGGATTCTCTTTCCTTCTCCCTCTACCCCTTCCCCACTCTCTCTCTCAAAATAAATAAACATTAAAAAGAATAAAAAGAATAAAACCCTACTGTACACCTTCCATATCAAAACAATCTCCAAGACCTACTGATCCCATCCCTTAAAAATGTTTAGACTCCATTCACTTCTTTCTACCCATCATCCTAACCCAGGACACCATCAGACTAGTCACATGTCTTCACATTCTGCCCTCTCTCTAGATCTCAGCTACAGGTGACACCTTTAAATACCTATGTGAATGACTCCCAATTTAGTTACACATCCAAGACCTTTGTTCTAAATGCCAAGCTTTTAACTATTATGTCTCCATTAAATTCTCAAACTTAATCCTCCAAACTAAAATCTTGATCTCTCTATATCTATTCTTCCAAGTTGTGCAAACGAGAAATATGGGAATCATCCCAGACACCTATTCTCTCCTATACCACATTCAACTCATTACACCAAGTCTAGCCAATTTTACCTACAAAAGCAATCTCTAATCTATTCAATTCCATTTCTCTGCCACTATCCAGTCCAAGTTACCATTACCTCTCACCTGCATGATTACAGTAGGATATCCTTCCCAGTCTCCCAACTTCCACACCTATGCCCCTACAACCCATTGATTTAATAAGCATACATTACATTAAGCAATTCCCCTACTCTAAAAATCCTGTTACTTAATACAATTTTCTTGAATGAACATATCATCAGGCTTCTAGGGCTTCTCATACTAGACCATCACAGTCTAGTAGGGCTTATCCCTTACTCTTCCTCCACAGTTTAATTTAAATGTTACTTTCTCAGAAAACCTTACCTGACCTTTCAATCTATCCCAATCAGGTTTCATACTGTACCTATATAATTTACTTAAATTTACAAAAGTATAACTATATGAATGCTCACAATTGATTTTAATAAGCTATGTGTGGCAAGAACCATATATATTTTATTTACTTCCATACACTCAACACCAAGCATGCAAATACATATTAACAAGTGTTCAAATGTATGTTGAATAAAATCAAAGAGTAAGACACAATATGTACACTTAATAACATAACAGATGACCAAAAAAAATGTTTAAGTTAGATTCAACTATAAATTAAACTAGATTAATCCACTGCACTTCATTTTTAATTAAATATTTGTATCTATATTGTGTTTACAGTAAATGATGTGTCTTTACAAACTTGCTTATTCTTTTTTGCCTGCTAATTCTTTTTTATCTTATAAATTATTAGTAAAAGAATCTTTCCAATGTGCTATTTGTTACTCTGCCACTCATTTGCTTAAAAACCTGTAGCAGCTGGGACACGTGGGTGGCTCAGTTGGACTTCAGCTCAGGGCATGACTTCACCATTCTTGAGTTTAAGCCCCACACTGGGCTGTGTGCTGATCGCTGAGCCTGGAGCCTGCTTCCAATTCTGCCTACCTCCCTCTCTCTGCTCCTCCCCGCAACGTGCACGTGCTCCCTCTCTCAAAAATAAAACAAAAACAGGGGTGCCTGGGTGGCTTAGTCAGTTAAGTGTCTGACTTCAGCTCAGGTCATGATTTCATGGCTCATGGGTTCAAGCCCCACATCCGGCTCTGTGCTGACAGCTCAGAGCCTGGAGCCTGCTTCAGATTCTGTCTCCCTCTCTGTCTGCCCCTCAGCCGCTTGCGCTCTGTCTCTCCCTCTCTCTCAGATGTAAACAAACATTAAAAATAAACAAAGACAAATAAATAAATAAATAAATAGTTCTCTTTAAAAAAACAAAGCACATTTTTAAAAAGCCTGTAACAGCTAGCCTGGCTGTTCTTTCTTCAGACAGGCTGATAAACTCAGTCTGACAAATCACTCCTTTCCCAAAACTTCTCCCCTCCAACTCCTTGCCACCTGGAATGGCCTTCCCACCTCCTCTCTAAATTTTTTCTCAGTCAACTTTAGACCCTCCTTGAGCTTTTCTCCAGTGATTTTAGGCAAAAATAATTTTTCTGAAATGCTATAGTAATTATAATCTGAATTATTTAGATAAAATGAAATACTGGGTTGTTCTTTTTTTAATACTAGTTTTTAAAAAAATGTGTAACCATTTCATTGTATGCAAACATATGTACAATTCCAGCTAGAACAGTTTCAGTCAGGAATTGTGTATTATACATACTTTTGCTTCCTTCTGTACTCCCACCTAGTGGACACTTGATAAATATATGAATTACATCTTTTAGAAATAAAAAAATCCCAAAGAAGACAAAATATCAATGTTCTGAACTGAATTCTGGTGAGAAGTGACAAGAGAACTTCTTATGTATAAGTATTTAAAACAATGCATTAGGAACACTACTTCAAAAAGCACATTTTAAGGGCACCTGGGTGGCTCAGTCAGTTAAGCATCCAACTTCAGCTTAGGTCATGATCTCACAGTTTGTGAGTTCAAGCCCCACACCGGGCTCTCTGCTATCAGCACAGAACCTGCTTCGGATGCTCTCTCTCTCTGCCCCTCCCCTGCTGGTTCTCTAAATAAATAAATAAACAAACAAACAAACAAACAAAAAAAAAAAACTAAAAAAAAAAAAAAAAAAGAAAAAGCAAATTTTACCAGCAGGTATTGTTTTATTTCAGAAGCAAGGATGGGATGGAAATAAAGAAATAAACATAAAACACCAGACAGTCTGAAATCCAAGAAATATACCTATTCATAAAAACACCATTTAGGGGCGCCTGGGTGGCGCAGTCGGTTAAGCATCCGACTTCAGCTCAGGTCACGATCTCGCGGTCCGGGAGTTCGAGCTCTGCGTCAGGCTCTGGGCTGATGGCTCAGAGCCTGGAGCCTGTTTCCGATTCTGTGTCTCCCTCTCTCTCTGCCCCTCCCCCGTTCATGCTCTGTCTCTCTCTGTCGCAAAAATAAATAAACGTTGAAAAAAAAAATTTTTTTTAATAAAAAAAAAAAAACACCATTTAAATTTTTCCCTCAGTTATAAAATTTCCCTTCAATAACTGTAATAAATTTGTCCTTTCCCACCGTATCTCAACAGACTTACCTAAAATAATTTAAATGACATACTCTATTCAAATTTTATAAATGTTTGGTATTTAGAACATAAATACATCTGAATTCTAAATTCAGTTTTGAGTTCTTACCTGCAGTTTCTGATGTATTTGAAATAATTCATCATATATCTGATTAATCTGATATGGAAGTATTCTCTGCTTGTTTGGTACTTTAGATGTCTGATAGCTAACACGTCTCAGAGGACAGTCACTTGCATCACTACAACATTCAGTCCAATTTCTTGAATTTGCGGCCAAATTAGTTGGCTGGGCAACTGGTAAAAAAAAATTATCAAGCTTATTAATTTACAGTTTTAAGTATTTCAGAGTAATCTTCAGAAAGTTACTTTAAATGTGAATTATAGTATTGTTAAAAAGTCTCCAAGTATTGGGCTGCCTGGGTGACTCAGTCGGCTGAGCACCTGACTCTTGATTTTGGCCCAGGTTATGATCTCACGGTTGCGAGATCGAGCCGTGTGTCAGCCTCCATGCTCAGCATGGACCCTGCTTGGGATTCTGTCGCTCTCTCCCTTGTCCCTCCTCCCCACTCATGCTCTCTCTCAAAAACAACAAAACAAAACAAAAAAAGAAGTCTCCAAGTACAGACTTGCAGAGAGAAAGAATTATACAATAAATGTGATAAAATGTCAACATTTAGAAGATCTGTGTAAAGGTCTTACAGATGCTCTTTCCTCTTTTTGCAACCTTTTTGTAAGTCTGAAATTATTTCAAAATTGATTTCAAAGTGCATGAAAACATTCATGTATTAAACCGCCTAGGCCAAGAAATGGAAAATTACCTCAGAAGCCCCCGATCACATTCCCTTCTCTCCCTTAAACCAAATTAACTACTAAGCCAAATATAGCATTAACCATTGCTTTACTTTTTAAATTTTTACTACTTGGGTAAAAAAAAAATTTAAGACTTTGTTTTGCCTATTGTTTTGCCTGTTTTAAACTTTATATAATATCTGTAATCATTTAATGATGCAATTATGTAATTTCTATAACTTCCTTTAAATATGTTCTTATGTTAATGACAGAATCAGGTCAAAATCTTCACTACTTCTTGTATTTTTATATGCCAACATTCTACTATAGGTCGATACGTGAGCTGTTTGTCTACATAGATGCTCTATGGACATGGCTCCTGTTACACGCATTCAAGAGTTTACCTAGGGTATATGACTAACAGCAACAATGCTGGATCACAGGGTACATGTACATGTTCAATTGTGCTAGTGATGCCAAAATGCTTCCCAAAGTGGTTATACTAATTTACTCTCCCAACAGCAGCGGATGAGCAAGTTCCTCTTGCTTCATTTCTTTGCCAACACTGTATTGTCAGAGTTCATTTTCTGTTAATACTGAAAGCTGTGGTTTTAACTTGCATTAGCCTTCCCGAGAACACCAGTTTTAAGAAGGGGCCTCCTATTTTACTCCCAGAATGCCAGGTTTAAGAAGGGGGTCTCCTATTTTACTCCCCATCTTGGACAGACCGTAGGGAGCCAAAATAAAAATTACATGAATTTTTACAAAGAAAAAGTTTCACTTCACTCAGTCTAGCAAACACCCTTAAAGTGAAAGACACTTTCAGTGCGCTGCTTGCCTTTCTAGATTCCCAGATCACAAGCAGTAGCTTAAATATTCCTTAATTATGTTAACTTTTAAATATATTCACCCTTTATTTATTTATTTTTTTACATTATCCTATATTTTCAATTGTTTTTCAGGGGGAAAATCCACCATGTAGCCGGAAACACAAGTCCAGGCATAATTATTTTTCATTTTCCTCAAACTGAAATGAATGGAACAAAGAGGATGACAAAGAGCAGGAAGGGAGAAATGACTGTGTGTTGCATACAGACAATGTATGCCCAGAAAACATGCACGGAGGCTATCAGAGAGGGAACAGTGCTCTAAAAGTCTTGCAGCCAAGAGGAAGCCATCTCTGGGTGCCCTGAAATCCTGAGAAAACTATGACATGCAGCCATGTACAGAGAGAGTTATTAAACAAGTGCCTGAAGAAGTCGTACCTTAAGCAATCTGCAGTAGTCTTAAAATATTAAGGGATTACTCAAATCTACCACAATATTTACTGACTTCCTAACAAATACTGCTATGAAAAAAAAAACAAGAAATTATAAAAGTACTAAGTTGAAAACTGTATGGAGGTTCCTCAAAAAATTTAAAACAGAGGGGAAGATGGCAGCGTAGGAGGACGCTGGGTTCACCACATCCATCTGGTCACTTAGATTCCACCTACACCTGCCTAAGTAACCCAGAAAACCGTCAGAAGACTAGCAGAATGGAGTCTCTGGAGTCAAGCGCAGACGAGAGGCCCACGGAAGAGGGTAGGAAGGGCGGAGAGGCGGTGTGCCCTACACGGACTAGCGGGAAGGAGCCGGGGGGAGGGGCAGCCCGCCAGCCAAGCAGAGACCCCAAGTCTGGCTGGCAAAAGTGGAGGGGCCAGACGAACTGTGTTCGGACAGCAAGTGGGACTTAACATCTGGAACGTTATAAGTTAACAGCTCTACTCAGAGAGTGGGAAGGCTGGAGGAAAACGGGAGGGAGAGTTGCTGAGCCCCGGACAACAGAGCTCAGCTTGGCTGGGAACAAAGGCGCTTGCCAGCATCATCTCCCTCGCCCATCCCCCAGCCAAAATCCCAAAGGGAACCAATTCCTGCCAGGGAACTTGCTTGCACCTCGCAAACACCGAACGCTGTGCTTCTGCGGATCCATCCCTCAAGCAGCGGGTCTGACTCCCTCCCGGTGCCACAGGGCCCCTCCTGAAGCGGATCACCAAAGGAGAAGAAGGAGAAGCGAATTGAGCCTGCCACTCCCGCCCCCATGCACCTTGCCTATCCACCCCAGCTAATACACCAGTTCCCCAGCACCACAAGCCTGGCAGCGTGCAAGTAGCCCAGAAAGGCCACGCCACCTCACAGTGAATCCTGCCCTTAGGAGAGGGGAAGAGAAGGTACACACCAGTCTGACTGTGGCCCCAGCGGTGTGCTGGGGACAGACATCAGGTCTGACTGCGGCCCCGCCCACCAACGCAAGTTATTCAAGACAGTACAGGGGAAGTGCCCTGCAGGTCCACACCATTCCAGGGACTATCCAAAACGACCAAACTGAAGAATTCCCCTCAAAAGAATCTCCAGGAAATAACAACAGCTAACGAACCGATCAAAAAGAATTTAAACAATATAACAGAAAGTGAATTTAGAATAATAGTCATGAAATTAATCGCTGGGCTTGAAAACAGCATAGAGGACAGCAGAAAATCTATTGCTACAGGGATCAAGAGACTAAGGAATAGTCAGGAGGAGGTAAAAAATGCTATAAACGAGCTGCGAAATAAAATGGAAACCACCACGGCTTGATTGAAGAGGCAGAGGAGAGAATAGGTGAACTAGAATATAAAATTATGGCAAAACAAGAAGCTGAGAAAAAGAGAGAGAAAAAAATCCAGGAGTATGAGGGGAAAATTAGAGAACTAAATGATGCACTAAAGACAAATAATCTACGCATAATTGGTATTCCAGAAGAAGCAAGAGGGAAAGGTGCTGAAGGTGTACTTGAAGAAATAATAGCTGAGAACTTCCTGGTTCTGGGAAAGGAAAAAGGCATTGAAATCCAAGAGGCACAGAGAACTCCCTTCAGACGTAACTTGAATGGATCTTCTGCACGAAATATCATAGTGAAACTGGCAAAATACAAGGATAAAGAGAAAATTCTGAAAGCAGCAAGGGATAAACGTGCCCTAACATATAAAGGGAGACCTATAAGACTCGTGACTGCCCTCTCTTCTGAAACTTGGCAGGCCAGAAAAGAATGGCAGGAGATCTTCAATGTGATGAACAGAAAAAATATGCAGCCGAGAATCCTTTACCCAGCAAATCTGTCATTTAGAATAGAAAGAGAGATAAAGGACTTCCCAAACAAACAAAAACCGAAGGAAGTCGTCACCACTAAACCAGCCCTACAAGAGATCCTAAGGGGGATCCTGTGAAACAAAGTACCAGAGACATCACTACAAGCATAAAACATACAGACATCACAATGATGCTAAACCCATATATTTCTATAATAACACTGAATGTAAATGGACTAAATGCACCAACCAAAAGACATAGGGTATCAGAATGGATAAAAAAACAAGACCCATCTATTTGCTGTCTACAAGAGACTCATTTTAGATCTGAGGACACCGTCAGATTGAGAGTGACGGGATGGAGAACTATTTATCATGCTACTGGGAGTCAAAAGAAAGCTGGAGTAGCCATACTTATATCAGACAAACTAGACTTTAAATTAAAGACTGTAACAGGAGATGAAGAAGGGCATTATATAATAATTACAGGGCCTATCCATCAGGAAGAGCTAACAATTATAAATGTCTATGCGCCGATACGGAAGCCCCCAAATATATAAAACAATTACTCACAAACATAAGCAACCTTATTGACAAGAATGTGGTAATTGCAGGGGACTTTAATACTCCACTTACAGAAATGGATAGATCATCTAGACACACGGTCAATAAAGAAACGAGTGAATGATACATTGGATCAGATGGACTTGACAAATATATTTAGAACTCTGCATCCCAAAGCAACAGAATATACTTTCTTCTCGAGTGCACATGCGACATTCTCCAAGATAGATCATATACTGGGTCACAAAACAGCCCTTCATAAGTTTACAAGAATTGAGATCATACCATGCATACTTTCAGACCACAATGCTAGGAAGCTTGAAATCAACCCCAGGAAAAAGTCTGGAAAACCTCCAAAAGCATGGA